ATAATAAAAAAAGGATGATATGTGGCATTCATGTCAAATTCATTCACTCCCTCAGCATCTCAATTAGAAACCCCATCGCAGCAGTGCTAACTATTTTATTTATTTGTCATTTAATGATAACACAATGTGGTGATAATATGCACTATACCGTTTAAAAGTTTAGGATCAGTAAGTGTTTTTTTTTTTTTTTTAATAATACTTTTTCTTCAGGAAGGATGCATCAATTTGATCAAAAGTGACAGTAAAACAGCATTTATCTGAAATACAACTGTCTATTCAGATTTTTTTTTAATGAAATGCATCACGGTTTCCATAAAACATGAAGCAGCTTAGCTGTTTTTAACATAAAAAATATTTTTAATAGAAAAAAGAAAAGAATTTATAAATTCTTGAGCAGCAAATCATCATATTAGAATGATTTCTGAAGAATGTGACACTGAAGACTGGAGTAATGATGCTGAAAATTCGAGCTCTGACCCTCCAGATGCCCTTTAAAATGCTCCTTTGGTGCTTGTGTTTCCATGTTTTCAAGAACTTCAAGCTGTCTGCATGCACAGTGTGCAGCGAACTTATAAAGGTCAACCCGATGTCTCTGAGGGCAGACATATCAATTCTGATGGACCATGAGGAGCAACACTCTAAATAATGTCTTCTCGTAAATGCTGATCCAGGAACAGTTTTCCGATCCCAAAATCTAGCATGCATCATACTTGGAGAAAACTACAGAACTGACCTCAGATCAGCATATTTGTGAGTAAAGGCCAACCTTTAGCCACATTTACAAATGGACCATGAAGCAAAGACAATTGTAGGCAATTTCTTTTATTGTATCTTGAAAAGTTTCATATTGAACCTCGCATATTGCACCTCGACTCAGACCTGGACAGGAATGTGGGTAAATGGTTTTACGGCTTATCAAATGTCACTTTATTCACACTTCACAGAACAGTGCAGTTTAAAAAGAAACCATGCAAAAGTTTGATAAACATTTTCCAAATTCAAGTCCCGACCCAAAGCATCATCATGCCTGTCTTTATAATAAAATTAACTTTTTATAAAGAAGCAATATTTGTTTGTGAAAGTGAGTTTCAGTGGGTTTAAAAAAAAGGGAAAATACAGAGAAAAAGTGGTGGTATTGAGATATGAAGATGGATTTAAAACATGATGCTGATGTGCCAATTAAACCTGATATATGAATTCTAAAATGGTCAATAAATAATTTTACTCAACAACACTTAAATGTTTTTTATTCAGATTCTATGATTTAAAGAACTTGGATTTTGTGTTTCTTTTTTGCACACAAAAGTTTCACCACTTGTCCTATTAACCTCCTGCAAAGTTTCAAGCAGTTTGCTACATAAATTAGCCTACTTCAAGTGCTTGTCTTACATCTGACTTCTTCCCAAGATCAGCTCGTCAGGTGGGCTACAAGTCAGGAAATTGAGATGTGTTTGATTGAAACCCCAGGCAGCGGAAGATTTGTATGCCCGAAATTATATGGCTCATAAACGCCTGGTTTTATGCATTAACGTCAACTGCGCAACATTTCCATATTCCCATCATGTGATACCACGTTTAAGACATTAGGAAAATATAAGATTAGGACTATGTGCCGTCACAATAAATCATCCAGTATCCTTGCTTTGTTTTAGAATAAATAAATCATTGTATAAAATACATTTCAGTAAGTTTAGCTACAGAGAAGAGTTATTCTCAATCTTTAATTTCCACTGGCCAAATATTATGCATTTTTTGCCTATATGGTAAACATTTAATGATGGTTTATATGTGTTTTAATGGAAACAGGTAGGCCTTTTTGCAGTGTAAATAATTGTCTGACGCGTCACTGCCAAAACATTTAAAATAATAAAAACGTGCATGTCCTACAGTTTCCTTCAAATTCTATCCTTCAAATACACTTGTATCTTCATTATATTGGGAAGACCCCAAAAATGGGTATCGTTAGGCCTACTGTCTGTGCACGACACCCACAGGTTTTACTGTCATCGTAGGCTACTTATTCAAACAGCTTTAGTGCCGAATTCTGTGACCCTGTAGGCGCTGTAGTGATGGTATAGATTAGGATTGGGTAAAATAAATCAGATTATTTTAATACAGCGCCTGTTCGGTGGGACACAGCATTCGGCACGGAGTCAAGCGCTGATCATTATTCGCACGAAAGTATTTTACACGATTTAAAGCGGAATTATCATAAGCTAAGCAATCTTATAGCTGTAGTTAAAACATTAGAACACAGCATACCACATTAAAAGTGTTCAAAAGCAGAGCCCACTACAAATATTTGTATTTAATTGAATAAAAAAGAAATGTTGCAACTTTTGGATAATTATTTCGTGAAAGGCAGTCGCCTACTTAGGCCTAACTCATTTAATGCGAGTGGCATATTTAATCTAAATGTGTATCAGATGTAAGATAAATCATACTTTTTACTTCATTACTTCTCAAGAAGAGTGCGTATGCATACGTGCGTAGCCTACATATTTGCGCAGCCTAGTTAATTTTGTTAAATGCCACATTTAGGCTCCTCCCTATTGGAGTCAACCATTTACAAAAACCAGGGGGAGTATAAAAGTTTACAGTGCTCAAGTAAACTCGCACCCATAATCATAAACAATAAAAATAAATAAACCTATAAAATGCATACCAACATTAATTAACATAAATAAACCCAACAACATTTCCCACATCACACAACATTTAAGCTATAGTCTACCGTTCCGGGCGGCGCCAATATTGGCGAAGACCTTTGACAGTATAAATACCGGAAGCCGATCATTACCAAGCACGTTTTATCTTCGTCTCTTTCGCATCCGGAATCAGACAACACAAACTAACTGGTAATTATACTTAAATGTATGTGTTTGCGGTGTGAGTTTATTATAACAGGGCGACGATCGTTGAATTTGAATAAACAATTGATATATGGGTCCATAACGAGGCAAATTAAAATGTGTGTGTCAGAGCCAGTGCCATCGTGCCCGAATGTTGTAACGTTAAGTTGTGTAGGAATTCCAGTGAGGAAAACCGTGTCCTCAGAACAAACATGTACACCACAGACTAATGTATACCAGGTTCACATAAGCTGCGAATGCTTTGCCCTGTCATTTCTGACCAGGTGCGTGGAAAAAACGTACAAATTACTAAAAGTAGGCCTATATATTTTTTGGAGAAGTTAAACTGGGTGAGAAAAGTAAAAGTAAATAAAAAGTAAATAACTAGCATTTTCGGGTACGGGAAAATCCTAGAGTGCCTGCCCACTGATCTTCAAAATGTTTTATGCTAAACAATACCTTTTTTGTGAACAATATGTAGATTTTAGGCCTTGATAAAAAGGTTATCCTATAAGTGAAGGCATGTTGCGACAGGAGGGTTTATTTACGGCATTACCATAGTATTTAATCGTAATATCGATCGAGTGATAGAATATTGTCTAAAAGTAAAAAAATCCCCATTTTTTTTTTTCTTTGGCTTTCGGGTTTTACCAGTTATTATAAGACTTGAATTGTAATGACTATTAGGCCAGGCCTACAACTGCATGTATGTAGCCTATGTTTGTTGTTATTATGCGTTTTAACGAATAAAGTGAAAATGAATAATTGAATTATAATTTTTAGTTTTTTAGTTAATTGTTTTATTGTTAGTAGTGTTCTCTCTATGGCTGCCAGATTAATCTTGTAGCCTACTTTAATGATACATGACTGCGGTGTGCCTAATGATGATAATATAACGCGTTTTAATGAATGATGATTAAAAAAAATACATATAATTAATGTATTAAATTACAACTAAGTTTTTAGTGTAATCTTAAATTAGTTTTTGCGCCCTGCAGTAACTAACTAGTAATTTGCAGCTATAGAGATATTCACGCATTTTTCCGCAGTAAAGCACATTTCACAAACAATGCCGTCCTACTGTAGCCTACGTCTACTAGCGATATATAACATTTATTCACAAGACCAGCGCAAATCCACAAGGAACTGATTAACAAACTGTAACAAACTTCCTGTCATAAGACTTTGAACTGTGGGTGAACAAATTAACAAAATAAGTTAATGGGAAGACTAATTTAAAAGCAAGTAAACAACTCGCCTACTTGGATATCAGCGCTTTGTCACGTCAAAACCAAACGTGAAATGGTCTGAAAACATGATGACTGTAGTAGAGGGTTTTAGTGAGCAATCAGCTTGGTGAAATTAAAGGTACATCTTCGTGTCTCTGACCGTGTTTAACAAGCTTGATGACTGATGAAAATGTTTGCTATTTAAAAAGAACAGCTGAACATCAGTTCAGAAATAAAATGGGGCTATAGGCATTTTGTTTTAATTATTACTGCCTGTAGTTATTATTTTGGAATAAATGTAAAAATGCTTAAAAACTAACTTGATCAGATTTATACTTGGTTTTAATAAATGGAACATTAATAGCATTAATTAAAAAAAAATACAAAATAGAATTGTATTTGGTTTATTTGTATGTATTATTTAACAATTAAATGACAACATTAAGTGTAACTGGGACATGAATTTTCAAATGAGTTATGACAAACAAACCAAGAACTGAGGACTTTGCCATCTCATTTCAGAACACCTGCACACCTAGTTAAAGGGAACAATATTTTTCTAGTGGCCATGACTTATGTTGAGGAGCCGCGGGACATGCGCGGTTAGCCAACGAAGTTGAGAATTCATGGCCGAGAACGCTTTGTAATTGTGCCGTGCCGAACTTTAACTGTACAGGCCTGACAGTGGAAAAGCTGCTAATGTTTTCCAACCCTGTTCCTGGGGGCCAAATTTTCTAATTAGCTTCAGACACACCTGATTCAAGTCAGCTTATTAGTAGATACTCTCAAGACCCCAAATGAATGGGGCAGTTAAAGAAATCCAGCGTGTTGTTGTCTCCAAAAACTGGGTTGGGAAACACTGCAATAAAGCTGATGCTAATACTGTTCTGTGATATTTTCAGATTGATTTAATTCAAAGATGACCTACCCAACAACTCTAGAGCTAATTGGTGGACAATCTGGTAATGAATTCTCATTGACTGGTGAGAACAACGGTGCCAGTTTAGAGAAGATCGGAGTCTGGGTGGGAGAATGGCAAGTGAAGAGTGTCAAGGTTTGGCTTTCAGATGGAAGAATTGAAGCTTTTGGAGAACCAGCCGGACCGTATCAAGAGTACCATTTCCAGGCTGGTGAGTGTTTCGCCTCACTGTCCCTGTGGGGGAACGGAGCAGGAACACGTCTTGGAGCCATTAAATTCAAGACCAACCAGGGGAGAGAATTTTTTGCGAAGATGACAAAATGGGATTTAAAAACCGAATATCCCATTGATGTTGGCTCTGGATATTGTTTGGGAGTTGTGGGAAGAGCTGGTGCAGACATTGACAGCATGGGATTCATGTTCCTCAATGCAGTTCAATCAACAGTTCTCACCAATGTCAACTATCCCACTATCAACCAACTGATACCACAGGTCGCCGTGGAAGAAATCAAATCCGTCACTTTCAGGAACGACTCCTCCATCATTCAGACCCATGAAGTTGTAGCCTCAAAGGAAATTACCAACACATCTTCATGGTCTGTGAGTGAAAGTTTAACATCAACATTCAGTATGGAAGTGACGGCTGGGATTCCAGAGCTTGTAGAAGTTTCTACAGGATTCAGTGTCAGTGTTGGATCAGAAAGCACTTATGGTCATGTGCATGAAGAGAAGACAACCGAAACTCTGCGTACCAATGTAGGTGTGCCACCAAGGAAGGTCATGGATGTTCTCATCACCATTGGCAGAGCCACTTTTGACATGCCTTACACCGGCACAGTGAAGATCACCTGCAAGAACGGCAGTGTGTTACAGTATGAAACCCAGGGCACATACAGAGGCGTCACTTACACTGATATCAAAGTGAACACTACAGAATCTGATCTGTGATGTCAAGAGATTGCACATGTAACAAGTTCTTTGATTACATCGAAGTGTGTCAATCATGTATCAATTGCTGCTTTACATTTAGTCCTCATTGTTGTTTTTTGGGGGGTGTTTGGTTGTTTAGGGGAAAACTGGTGATATTCAACATTTGTTGTTTTCAAATAATCTTATGGTACCAGGACACAAATATGCATAGCTTCATACTTTGTATAATCACTTTAAAATAGTCTCTAGAAATCAATTCTGTAATGTTTTAAATACTGTTTATTAAATAAACCTTGTTGCAAGCAATGTTCCCTCTAATTGTTTTCTTGCTGAGCGAAACATTTCTGTATTGGGTGGACATTTTAACAACATGAGCAAAAACATCCCTTAAACCAGACCTGAACATACACACAAATAGTGCTTACATCATCTAGTTGTAACTTGAAAGGAATGGTTCACTTATTCTGTGGCGGTTACCAACATTCTTCAAAATATAATCTTTGTGTTAAGAGAAATTCTTGTAGAAATTTATACAGGTTTGAAACCACTTGAGGGTGAGTAATTGACCATTTTCATTTAAGTGAATTATTTCTTAAATTTGATGCTGTATTTCTATTTGATTTGACCCTTGATGTTACTTGAAATGATGGAAAACAAACTATTCAATTTGTCCAGTCCTGTTAACTAATTCTTTACCAAGAGTTTTTTTTTATTTTTATCTCAGAATAGTTAAATTTTTACAGTCAATTATTGGCTACAGACAGTATAAAACCATCAAAATGATTTATTGCTTATGATCATATGCACATCTATTTAAACTACTGATGTATTCTCACGGACACAAACTCACCAGTCTGATCTTGGTCAGATGTAGAGTTAGCTAATACCTCTTTAGTCGGTTGCCTACTGCTCACTCCTACAAAAAGTGTAGTTTATTTAGTTTACTACCGGCTTGACCTGATCTAACTGGGGCTCAGCCAGTTTTGTCCTCAGTTTTCATGTAAGCCCCACATGGGCTAACCCAGATGAAATGAAGAATGCTCAATGTGCGCTCTACAGGGTGCTAAATATAACACTGAATCAGTGTTGGAGTTAATGAGATTGCAGAATAATAATAAGCAGAATCACTGAAGGACAGAGAAACGACAAGAACAGAAAAAAGCGAAACACAAGAGCTAACTGACTTCTAGCCACAGATGAAATCAACTGATGATACAAAGACATTAAGGCCCCGTCCACACTACTTGTGTTTTAGTTTAAAAACGGAGACCTTTTGCTACGTTTGCACCTCCCGTCCACACTAGAACGGCAAAAACGGAGACCCAAAACGGAGAAGTTTAGAAACGCTGCCGATCCGTTTTTCGTTTTGATTCTCCGGAGGGCGTTTTAGTGTAGACGGCTCAAAACGGACGACTTTAGAAACGATGACGTAGTAGAGGCTCACGCTCGGCTCTATTGGGTGTCATCAGTCATGGCGTATATCTTTGCTAGCAGCTGTTGTACAAGTAAATTCTGCATTTTACAACGCTATAACTGCCTACATGCGCCGGAGTCAAGCTATTATTCGAGCGATCTGTGACAATTCCCGTGTGCAGCGGCGGCGTTGACCGTGAATGGAGCGTCGGTTTGGGGTTAACCCAGAGCATGGTGGGATAATTTTATCAATGAAGTTGTGTTTACACCGGCACGCGCATGCCCAGTGTTGGTGAATGGTCACGTGATCCGCGTTTTCAGCAGTGGCGGAGCCAGGGGGTGGCCAGGGGTGGCCATGGCCACCCTTGGCTTAAGCTTGGCCACCCCTTTGGCCACCCCTCTCACAACTTCTGTTTCTATCTCGCTCTATTTTTTCTTTTTCTTTTTTTCTTTCTTACAAGAATTGCGTTTTTAAAACACAGAACCGTCTCTTTAAGACCACAATGAAACGTGAGACTTTTCAGACGCGCACCCCAACTTCACCTCAGCGCCAGGCGCAAGTCAAACGAGTGCGGAAATGTACAGGTGCCGAATAAGCTTCAGCAGTGATCGGAGCATAGTAAATACAGATTCGAACATTCGATGTTCCTCAACTGGTGGGTTGCATAACCGTTTTGAGTGAGTCGCATATGTGCAGTCAAAGAAACAACAACGTAATTCTCTTTTTTTTCTGATGCTACTTTTATTTTGAACGATCTGTGTGAAAGCGTGTGACACTTCTGTCAGATGCGGAGAAAAACGCGTTGTCCTGAATCAGTAGGACTGCGGCAAGATGAGATGTTGTAAGGTCAACAAATGTCAGTAAAACTAACTTTCCGGTCCTGTCAGCCGTTGTACTGTACTTGCACATCACGCGCAAATGTGGCGTGCTGTAGTTTTCTGTCGTCAATTAACTCATGAAATAATCAAAAAGGCGATAAAATCTGTGTCAAAACTGCATGCATGCATGTATTTGTTATATATGCATCACATATGTCTCGACTAAAATATTCTGCCATGTGAGATCACAATTAAAGGCACAAACTGATAGGCTATGTAATTTTTTAAATAAATGTGAGCACTGTGCATTTGTACTAGAAGATATAGGCGGTAATTTTACATTAATTTGTAAAGGACAAACAAAAATGGATAATTTTTAAATTCATAAAATAACAAATTTTACATTCTGGCATTTATGTGCTGTTGACTTCCGCCTTGTTCACATTCTTGCACATAGGGATTCAAAAGAGATGTTTACCCCCCTTTTTAATTTAGGTATATTATTTATTTTGACAACTAATAGCCTATAGAAAGTTGAAGTTCATTGATTATATAAAATTCAATGAAGGTTAAATAATCTTTGAACTACAGTAGGCTATCTGCATGTCTCATCCATGAAGGTGCAACAATGTTAGGGGTTTTGAGAACCAGAACCAAGCTAACTGAGCAAGTTGAACTTTAGCTATAGTGCGTGTCCCCTTTATTAATATGCCTGGAGGTGGTAAGTAATAATAATAATAAAAAAGATCAAATTCACTCAGTATTCCATGATTCCTAATTCACTACTATCTCAATTACAATTCAGTACAAATTAACTGTATTCAGTTGTGTAGGAAGGCACTAAAACAGTCCAATACATTATTTAAACAAATTTTTATGTTAAAATAATTAAGATTTATGTGCCACCCCAGACTGTTTGCTGGCCCTTGCCTGGCCACCCCTATGAAAAAATCCTGGCTCCGCCACTGGTTTTCAGTCGTTTTAATTTGGACGGAGATCAATTCTAACACGCAGCTAAAACGCTGGTGTGGACGGAGATCGTATTTGTTTTAATTATCCGTTTCTAAACTAAAACGCAGTTGTGTGGATGGGGCCTAAATCTCTCAAGATCTAGAGGAGGAAAACATAACTCCACAAGCAGCATTTCCAGCTTCACTTAGTAAGCAGATTGACTTTATTTCTGTTTTTTATTTAAATTTTTGCAACAAATACAAAATCTATAAAGAAGGAACAGTCCCTTTAAAAAAGAAAAAAAGCTTATAAAAGTAAAAGTAAACAAATAAAAAAATAAAACTAGAATGCCATGCAGTCACCAAACCCAGTCCTCCGCCCTCAGCAGTATACCCATTTTTGGCCATCACATCGCCCTGTCTACCTCTATCACAAACCTCGGAGTCAGATTTGACCCAAATCTTACTTTGGACACCCACATCCGCCACCTCTGTAAGGTCTCCTTCCTCCCCCTCAAAAACATAGCTAAACTCCGCCCCTCCCTCTCCCAACCGGATGCTGAGAGGTTGATCCAGGCCTTTGTCTCCTCCAGGTTGGACTACTGTAATGCCCTCCTCGTCGGGATCCCTGGCAGAAGCCTGCAAAAGCTCCAGCACATTCAGAACTGTGCTGCCCGGGTCCTGACGAGGAGGCGCAAATACAATCATATCACACCTGTTCTGAAATTCCTCCATTGGTTGCCCATTCAACATAGAATTCAGTACAAAATCTGTCTCCTCGCCCATCAGTGTATACATGGAACTGCACCAGCCTATCTCAGTGAACTCCTCACCCTACACACCGCCACACGAAACCTCCGCTCCTCTACCTCTACCTACTGCCTACACCAACCGAGGACTAAACTCTCCACTATGGGAGACAGGGCCTTTCAGGCAGTTGCCCCACGGCTCTGGAATGCCCTCCCAGAGACACTAAGGGCTCCACAAACTGTGGAGGTTTTCAAGAAGGGACTAAAGACATTTTTATTTCAAAAGGCCTTTTAACTCTCATGATTTTCATTTTATTCTTTGTGGTGTTTTATTGCTATTTATTGATTTTGTGATATTTTCTGGAGCTGTTTTTAACCCCCTGATACTGTAGCACTTTGAGATTTCGTTTAAATGTAAAGTGCACTATAAATAAAATGTATTATAAGTGCAACATTATCACTTAATGCATTAAATCATCTTAAATCATTTGCCTTCTGATGATCGTTTGCTTGTTTGGTCAGGTATTGCTATGGTGGGACATTCTGTCTAATAATGATCCAATTTCCCAACTCAATGGAAGACTAATCCCGATTCTGAGGATCTGAAATGAAACAATTACTGTCCATAAAATAAAACCATTAAATATTTTTCATTTATGCTTTTATTGATTGTCAGATTTAACATTTGAAATTCTAATGATGAAATAAATCACTTAATCTCTTACTACATGTTATTTAGGATGATTACAGAGTATATGAAGCTATAAGAATACATTGAAAAAATATTGCTGGGAAAAGACAGTGATGAGTAAATATTTCCCCTGTTGATATTCATTGAGCAAAGATCCAAACAAAACACAATCAATCAGTTGATAAACAGTTGATACATTGCTAGTAAAAATCAGAAAAAGACCAGCCAAGAACAATCCGTCTAAACATCACAGATCAGATTCTGTAGTGTTCACTTTGATATCAGTGTAAGTGACGCCTCTGTATGTGCCCTGGGTTTCATACTGTAACACACTGCCGTTCTTGCAGGTGATCTTCACTGTGCCAGTGTAAGGCAGGTCAAAAGTGGCTCTGCCAATG